ATTTCATTGTTGAAATACATAATTTTATGTTCTTTTTTATAACATGTGTGCATCATAGGAAAAATAAAAATATAAAAATGAAATATTTTTATTAAAGATGCTACATTTTTATTTCCATAATATGATAATTATGTACTGTGTTATCATTAGTCATTAAAGTTAATTTATTTTAAGAGAATGAATAAAAGTATAAAGAGATAATATTTTATTTAAAGGTGTTACCATTTTATTTATTAATAGATTGTTTACAGACTTCTACAGTATATTAAAAGTAAAATTAATAAAGAACATGTAGATTGATATACACTTATTTTACTTACTATAAAGTTATTCACTATATCTAGCACATAATCCTTATATATTATACTATAAACCATGAAATAAGAAATAAATTCTTTTCAAAATTTTTAATACATCTTAATAAGATGAATTTTTTTAATATTTTACTTATTAGCATTATACTTACTAAATTTTAGGAACTAGTTCATGTAGTTTAATATAAATAATCACATATTTGTTTAAAAACAGTTCCCTCGAATTTCTTTTACTCATAATCACATTTCATCATAAAAAAAAAATCATTCTAAAAAAAAATTGTAAAAAATTTAATATTTTTTTTTGTTTTACTTTGTAATTTAAATATATAAATTAAAAAACACATTTTTTTTAGGAAAATAATTTAATTGTAATGAAAAAAACAAAAAAAAAAGTTAATAGTTTCTTTGTAGTAGATTTATTTGAATTTTTATAAGAAAATTTTATGTTGGCAACAATAAAATTTTCTTTTTCATGATATTTATACAATTTATTTTGTATTATATTAATTACATATTTGTGTTAATTTAAAAGTGACGAATTTAAATTTTTAAACATTACTCATAACAATATAAGTAAAATATATGTAATTAAAAATTGATAATTAATGAGTATTTAAAATTTTAATAAAAATGAAGGATTTTTATTAAACAATTCTCAATGAAATACATTATATATATAAAACAGTTTATTTGTTTAGAATATTAAAACTAAATTTAAATTCCTTAAATTAGTAAAAGCACCTTTATATACTTTTTATTAATATGCTTGTTCAGTACTCTAGTAAAGCAATTGAATAGGCAACTAATAAATCAATGTTTTAATGTACTCATATTTTAAAAATACCCTTAGAAATGATATATTATTTGCTCACTAAAAAACTTTGGAGGGACATTGATTTATTATTATACTATTTAAAGACTTTTGTGATATTTTAAACAATCAAATAAATAAAAAACATGCAGATTAACTTATAAGGATTTTAATGAATTTACTAACTTCTTTTATTAAGAAGTCATACTTAAAGTTAAGTATTCAATTATTAAAAATATATAAGTCTTTAAGGATAGCATTTATATAATTTATAATAAACATTTTATATAAACGTAATATAATTCATAAAAATATTATTTCATTGTTTTTTTCTCATTTTTTTAAGTACTTTTCCTCATCCCTCTGCATATTTGCCTAAACTAACTCTTTTTGAATATATTTAATTTGTATTATTTTTACTATCAAAAGTGTACTTCCCTTTAAATTATATTTTTGATATAAATTAATATTCAGAAGAAATATAAATATATATATATATCTAATACATGTTTTTATTTTAACATCTCATAAATTCAAATCATCATCATTTGAGTGAAATTTTATCTTAAAGAATCTAAAGAGTTTCATCTTTTATGTTATGTATTCATTAATTCTGTCAATAAAATTTATATATCCTTAAATGAAACAAAAATATGTTAATATATATTTTTTATAAATCACTTATATAATAAAGGAAAATAAAGTTAAATTTAAATAAATAGCAATAAGATTACAGTGTAAAAGTCAATTTAGTGTTAATAGAAATGGAGAACTATACCGAAATAATAATAACTATTTGTGTAATAAAAGGATTAAAAATTCTTTTATATTAAGGAAGAAAATGTAAAAAATATGAAAAAATATATAAATAGTTGTTAAATATTATTGTTAACCTTTTTATATACCTAAATTGGTAACATAATATTAGTCAATATGTAAAATTACGAACCATTTCAAATTTCTAAATTAACAACATAATAAAGAGTATTATGAATATTTTTAAACTTTCAATAGAATATAATATAATAATGTTAAAAATTTTGTTGTTCAGGTAAAATATTTAAGAAGATGCTTACACAAAAAAAGAATAAATTTTTTTTATAGAGGTGAAGAATGATAGTACATATATATATTAAATAAGTATAGGCAGTGTGTATTTACGTTTTAATATGTATAAATAATAGTTTATATTAAACTATATAAGTGTTATTATAAATTCTTAATATCAAATTCATTGAAAGGTTTTAAAGTTAATAGAAAATAATTTATATATTTCATACTATACAGTTATATAAAAATTATTTCCTATTCATAACAAGTGATATTATAAAAAATGAAATATCTAGAGGTCATTTTATATATTATTTATTAACTCTTTAATATACTAAATAAATATTTGAAAATACAATTAATCACGATGCAATATAAGAAGAATTAGTTTTGAACATATGATGTTCAAGAAAGTTAATAAGATATATAAAAATATTATTATATATATATTTAAATTAATAAAAAGAGAAAAAAAATTATTTTTTCTGAATATAATTCTCTTTTTTTTCTATGTAACATTATATTTTTTAATAATTATCTTTATTATTTGTGTAATTTTTTTTTTTTTTTTTGGAAATTTATTTACTAAAATGATTTAATTTAAGATTTTTGATGAACTTTACTTTTATAACTAATGAGGATTAATTTTAATGAAGGATGATAATTATATACATATAATAACATGTTTCTATGAATTGAACATTTATGTTATAAATATAACTGGTAGTTTTTATTAAATTACATTAATATTTTATTATTTAGTTAATATGATAATAATAACAAAAATATTTATTTAAAGAATTATAAATTCTATATGAAATAAACTATATTTTCCATTTCGTAATATAATTATATAAACATAATATATTTGTTTGAAAAAACATTTTCACATTAAACAAATTAGTAGAAAACACAGCATATACCTTCAGTTAATTATTTTGTTAATTACTCTACACTTTTCTATTATCAAAAAGTTAATAAAACAAATTCAAAAAAACTATCTGAGAAGGCAAATTTTTTTAAAAAACACTAATAATATAGCTGAAAATATTATTATATAAATATATAGATAAAAATAAAAACATCTTATATACTTTTTGTGAGATTATATTTATTTATGAACATATTTTTTTTTCATCTATAATGGGAAATGATTTTTGGAGAAAATTAATTATTTATTTTTTATAATTGATTACTTTTTTTTCAAAAGAAATTTATTTTAGCTGATGATAATTATTAGTTTGTAAAGAGTAAAGATTATTTCACATATGATGAAACTTTTTTATAATGAGAGCTTAAATTTTATTAAAAAAAGTGAGAACCTTGTATGAAACTATATGGATGCTTTCTTATAAAAGTTTAATGTGTTGAGCATTATAAAATATTGAGTTAACATATATTTATTTAAAGGGTTTTAAAATTCTCATTAAATAAATTATTTTTTTCATGATACATGATGCAACTATGTGAAATTTAGTAGTTTCTTACAAATAACTTTTTGCAATAAACCATATTAGTAGAATATGATATATATTATACCCTTAATTTATTTTTTTTCATTATACAAAAGCTTTTGAATAGGCACTTATGATTATTTATAAAAGCACGTAAACTTAACATTTTTATTATTTTTTACTTATTAATTATTTTATAAAAGGAATTTATATAATTTAAAAAAAAAATTCTCCATTTTCATCAAAACGAAATTTCCATAAAAGCATTTATTATATATAAAATAACTTATACTATTTTAAAATTAATTATTCTCAATAAAAAAATAAATTTTCATAAATAAAAACTAACACATAATTAAAGTAACCACATTTTTATTTTAAAGCATACTCAAAACTTTTGAATAATTTCTAATAAAATTTTATAAATATATTTAAATGAACTAAAATAGAAAAATTGTGTAAGTATTTTTAGTGTTTTTCACATTTACAAAAAATGCGATAATTAAATAATTAAAAAAAAAAGTAAGAACGAATGTCAGATGACACATAAAAATGTAACAGATTAAATAGATAATAGTATAAGAATTATTAGTTACCAAATAAAATTATAGAGAATGTTAAAACTTTAAATAAAGTCATAAATGAATATAATTACAATAATACTACAATTAAGAACTTAAGAACAAATTTAAGTGACTTAAAAAAAAAGTAAATGGAGAAATTAGCTTAATTAGTGATAACAATTTTATAGATATTAATATAAAAGAAAAATTTTCGAATAAATTGAATGAAAAAAATGACTTATACGATAAAATAAGATGTATAAATGAATTAAAGGAAAATTCAATTAACCTACTTGAATCTTATGAAGATTTAAAAAGAAATATTGCTAATATTCTGAATGTAGAAGATTTAACTTAATATTCTAATAACATAACAAAAAAACAAGATAATCTGAATGATATTATGGGTGAAATAGATAAACTAAATTTAACATCTGTTGCATTAAATGTAGAAGTTAATAGTATAATAAGTAGTTAAAATGAAGAAATAACAGAATTAGTTCATAATCTTACTATAAGCTTATATATTCATATAAAAGTGAAATAAAAAGAAATTTGAAAATTATAAAAGAAGAAAAAGAGAGTTTAAAAAGTTATAATTTTGAAAATGATTTAGAAAAAGTTAAAAATGAGGAAAATAAAGATATAGTAAATGGGATATCATAAACAATTGTTAATTCCCTGGAAAAAATTATTACATATATGAATAAAATGACGTATATTCAAAGAGAATATAAAAAAGGAAAAGATGAATCTAATAATTAAATCGATGTAATAAAGTTTTAATTGATAAAAAAAAAACAAAATGGAGAGCATTTATGAAAAAATAAGAAATATATTTCAAGATTTAAACTCAGTAAAAAATGAGTTGGAAGCTTTAATAACATATATAAATATAAAAGAAAATGAATACAAAAAAATATTAGTAAATGATTCCATTTATCAAATTAATGATGAGAGAACAAAGGATGAAGGAGAAATAGTAAATGTTGATATTTATAGAAAAAAATTGATAAAGGAAAATGCTTCAGATATTGCAGAAAGTGAATTTGAAAATTTTAATAGTGAAAATTGTGTTAACATTACTAAAATTAGTCAATAAAATATAAATGAACACATTCATGAAGCAAACATGATATAAGGAAAAATGTTTCATGTTTCATTAAAAAATGAAATTGATAAAATTCAAACATTCATTGAACAGAAGTTTAAAGAAGCTATAATAGAAAAGAAAAGTATACGTAATGCATCAAATGAAATTAAAAGCATGAAAAAATTGTTAATGATAACAAAAATAAGTAGTATTATAGGTAATATACGAAATTACATTGAAAAAGTTAAAGAAAAACTGTAACACAACAATTTAACGAATCAGAAAGAACAAAAAAGGAAATAGAAAACGATTTTAAAAAAGCACAGAATTAAGAGATTTACTTATAATTCATGTGAAAACTTGATGAAAATATAGAAAAAATTATATTGATAAAAGAACTCACCGCAACCAATGCAAAAAGTATGAACATATTTCTAGCAGAAGTTGAAAATCGTAAAGAATTTTCTACATTATATCATAATGATACAGTAAAGGGGAAAAATAAAATAGAATATTTAAAAAGTTATGTTCATGACATTGATAAATTAATAGCAGATACAATGAAAAATGCAGACAAGCATGTAAATGAATGTTGTTATTGCTCAAATAAAGCAGATGAATATTACTACTGGAAATTATGAATTATTTTCATAATATGAAAAAAAGATAAATGATGTAATAAATGAATCTTTAATTTTAGAGGAAAAGATAAAAGTTCAAAATAAAAAAACAATGTAATATATCTATTAATCTAGATTCGGGATAGATTTTATAGCACTCAAAGTTTATTAGATAAATTAAAAGAACAAGATAATAATATAGAAAAGAAAAAATTAAGCAATGCAAATTATGATTTGATTTCTTCTTTATTATTTAATTTAAACTTGAGTTAAAACTTATATAATTAACATCACACACAACATTACGTGTTTTTATTTAACTCAACATCATTCATTCAACAAGAAAAAAAAACTAATTAATTTCTCTCTAAAAATTAAAAAAATTATCATTTACATACATATATTTGTATATTTTTTATTTTTAATGTACTAATTAAATGCTCTTTCAATAACGTTACTAGAGTATTAAAAAAACAGAAACAAGAAAATGCAGAGTCCTGTAGTAGATTAATAAGTTTAAGTATGGTTTTAAATTCTATAGGCTAGTAAAGCATATTTATGTATTCTATTTTAATGAATGTTTATTGTTTTTAAGAGGTATTTATTTAATGAAAATTGTATATTTTTATTAAAAACATAAACACTTATTAGTTATTGAATTTTATTTAAATATATTTTACTTATCATGTTATGACTAATGTTTATAAATTCCAAAAGATTATTTTTAAGTTAACAATAATAAATAATTGTTAAATAACGAATTTAAATTGTATTAATATTACAAACGTGAAAATTTTATTATAGTAAGTATAAAATTTTCTTTTTAAAAAATCAAAATTAATTCTTTAATAATATTTTTATCAATAAAAACTAAATTTTAACAAAAGTTTTTCAAAAATCATAAAAGCTAGCTATTTCCCAATTCAAAAAAAAAAAAAATTTTTTTAACTTATAAAAAGAAATAGAAAAATCAACAATTAATTTTTTTTTTTTTATTATGTGCTTGAATTTCTATGTTATCTCCACACAGCTATTAATTTTTATTCTTAAAAAGGATAATAGTGCCTTTTATTATTTATTCACATACCAAAACATATATTATAGTGCATCTATATTTAGTGTAAACATTTTTTTAGAATTTGCAGATTCTAATGCAAGAATTTCAATTCTCCTATTCTCCTTGTATATTGGTTAATAAATAGTATTATAGACCTATTTTAAGTGATATTTAAATAAATAAAAATATTTTAATTTGTGAATCCTAAGTATATTGGGAAAATGTGCACATGTGAATATAAAAAGAAAATATAGATATATTATATTCCATTTTTTGGTGGATATAATTACGAATACAAAAAAAAATTTTATTATTTTTTTTTTTTTTTTTTATGAAAAATTAAAAATATAATGTTAAATATTATATTTATAGAGTACTATGAAAATCAAATAACAAATAATTAATAGAATTAAAATTTAATATTAATTAACAAGATTACATAATCTGTTTCATGTTTTATTTTAATTCAAATAAAATATGTATAGTTTTATCTACATACTCTTTATTAATATGTTTATTTAATACTAGCAAAGTCACTGAACATATAATTAATATATCATACACTTAATTACTAATTGTTCGTTCAAAATTTTTATAGCATTTTGAATAATCAAACTAACAAAATGCACGTAGAGAAATTTATATTTATTTTGCTTATGATAAATACATCCAACTTAGATGATTTTAAACCTTTTATATAATTATCTATTGACAGTAAAATAAGAATATTTATTTTATGTAGTATAGTTTTAATCAATATTCTCAATCATCTTTATTAAAAATAATAAAAAAAATTATTCTCAACTTTTTCTTAAAAAAAAAAAATTAAATTAAAAAAATTTATTTTTTTCTAAAAAAATACGTAAAACTAATTTTTACAACTTTTTTTTTTTTGTTATTATCATTAATATATTTATAAGAATACCTACACTATACTTCATAATATATGCAGTTTTTTATTAAATAACTTTGTGATTTTATGTAAATATGGATTGCTGCTGTATGTATCTTTAGACATATTTTTGTATATGTCTATCATTACCTTTCATGAAGGGGAAACTTTTTAAAATAATCAACTATTATTATATAAAATATCAAAAATGTTAATATTTCTTGTTGACAATATATATTACAAAAATAATATTGAATATATTTTACTTTTATCCTTATTGAAGTTAAAAATAGGTTAATAATACTATTTAATAATAATATATTAAGAATAATAAAACAATTATTTAACATAGCATTTATTAGGGGATTTTAAATTTAATATAAAATATTTTATTCTATATAGGTGATTTATTAATTGGATGCTCAATGATTTTGCTAGGGTAAACAAATAAGTTAATAAAAAGAATGTAGAATTGTCTGTACTAGTTTAATGAATTTAAATGAAATTTTAATTCTCTAAATCATTAAAATGCATTTATATAGGTTGTTTCATTGAGCATTTATTGTTTTTAAGAGATATTTATTTACTTTAATAAAAATCCTATATTTTTATTAAAAATTTAAATTCTAGTTAATTATAAATTTTAATTACATATATATTTACTTATCATGTTACGATGGTTAACAAAAGGTATTGTTAACCTTTTAAGAATAAAAAGTAATAGTTGTATGGAAAATGAATAGCTACGTAAATGCTAGATAAAAAAAAAAAAAAAATTAGTTGTTTTTTTTTTTTTTTCTTTTTGTAATTTGAATGCATAAAAAATATATTTATTTTTTTTTAAAAAAAATGAAAAATATCGGAAAATAAAAGAAAAAGTTGTTGACTAAAAAGTTTCTAGTAGTAAATTTGATTTAAATTTATATAAAAAAATTTTATATTAACGATGATAAAATTTTTGTTTTTTGCAGAACTTATATAATTTATTTTATATTTTGTTAATTATTTATGTTTGATGAAAACAATGAGTTTGAATTGCTAAACATTGCTCATAACATTATAAATAATATATATGCAATTAAAATGAATAATTAGTGAGGATTTAAATTTTTAATAAAAATATAGGATTTTTATTAAAGTCAATTAATTTTTCTTGAAAACAAAGAATGATTAACTAAATGGATAATATAAATACAGTTTACTAGTTTATAGCCTAAAAATTAAAATTAATTAAATTAGTAGAGGTAACTATGCAGTCTTTTTATTAAACTGTTCGTTCAATAATTAGCATAAAAATAATATTAAAGATCTCTTTTGAATAATGAATCACATATACAATGTTCAATTATAAGTCTGTACACTGAAATAATTACTAAAGGAATATGTACAGTAAAAGAAAAAAATATAAAAAAAAAAATGTTATCTCTAAAAAAAAAATTTTAATTTTTTTTTTTTAGGAAAAGGAATAATGTACGAATTAATATGGAACGTATATATTTTTTTAAGGTAAAATGTAGTGTTAAAAGAAATTATATGGAGTGTTGTATAAATTAACTTAAAAAATAATTAACTAATAAGTAGTATTTTATATTAATTAATAAAAATAAAGATTTTAAATTAAAATCTTAATTAAAATAAATTAAGTAGAATTTACTCTACATTCTCTTTATTAATATGTTTGCTTGATACTAGCAAAATTATTGAATAGGTATTTAATAAATCAGTTCTCTAACAGAGTTATTGAATAGATAATTAATATGACACATTTTTAATCCTTTAAATAAAAACGTTTTAGATTAAAATTTTGATCAATTTTACTGTACTATCTATTTTATAGTAGCAATTTATCTAATTTTATAAAAATTTCTATTAATTTTTAAAAAAAATTAAAACCTTATAAAAACCTATTACTATATGTAAAATATTCTCTGTACACATTTATAATTCTATATAAAATAAACAGTTACTCAAAAATAATAGAATATTTTTTAAAAATTAATTATCATCATTACCTGATATCATTCATAATGAAAAGTGAAAATTATACTAAAAATTAATAACAAAAAAAAAATATATATATATAAACTTCAGCAAAAATAATTCTACAGGAAAGAAAACACTATTTTTTCTTTTTTTTTTTTTTAATATACATATCTACACAATTAGATTCCTAGGTAAAATGATAATGCTTTTCCTAAATGTATTCTTTTTATAGTTGGTTTTTAACTTTACATTAACAATTCATATATTCAATGAGGTTAATAATGCCTTCTATTGATTAATGGAAGTTTCTTACTGACGGTTCATTAATAAATAACAAAAAATTTTATTTATAATGTTTTAATTTGAAGAACATCCAATGATGAATATTGTCTATCTTTTTAAATTTTCAGTGAAATGAAATAAAACGTAGATAAAAGTTTAATTGTGCACTCAGGGTATCTGAAAAAATATTTACAGTTAATAGCGTAAAATAAAAAGAAATATATATATAAATAGAAAATGAATGTAACTAAAAAGAAAAAAGTTAATTTTTTTTTAGATTTTTTATAGTAGCAGTAATACTTTTTTTCTATAATAGTAAAATGCGTTTGTGAGTAAAGAATGATAAATTTACTTGAAAAATGATTTAATAAACATAAATGTAATATTTATTAAACAATATGAACTCATTACTTTAATTTAATAAGTTAATAATAAATAAAGTATTGAATAAAAATGTTTTACTTAAAAAAATTTTAAATTCTTTAAAGAAATTAGTTGTTTATTTCATGCTATATATTGTAATATATATGGAATGCATATTATTTAGAGTAATTTTATAATAAATGAAATAAATAGAGATGATTATGTGCTCTTTATTAATTAAACTGATCATTATACTTTAAAACAATGCGTAGATTTACTTAATGAACCAAAGGATTATAAATTATGTGTGAATTAAACTATTTTTTCATGTTATGCAATGTAACTATGTAAAACTTATGTATTCATATTAATATAAGAGGATAATTTATTTTTTATATTTGTTATAAAATTATTTTTATAGGAAAAAAAATCAGTAGAGATTAC